AGGTAAAAAGCGTCCCACAACAGCTAGGGAAGGGAACACTGTGAACATGCAAGACTGTTGTTGTTTAATTTGGAGCGAAGGTGCCGATGTTATGTCATGGATGACAGTGTTGTATAATGTGAATGTCACAAGTCGTTGAGCGATGTAACACGACCACGGGGGCCGTCACAGTCATGCAGGTTAATGCAAAACGACCACAGGAGCAGCAGCCAGTAACAATGACCACAGTAACAGTAACAGTCACAACGACCACAGGAGCAGCCACAGTCACAACGACAACAGGAGCAGCCACAGTTCACATTTTTCATTAACACGTCGGCCGTTTCCCACCGAGGCTGGGTGACCCGAAAAAGAAGAAACACTTTCATCGTCATTCACCCCATCAGATATAAATGACTGAAACTACTAAAAGGAGTTATTTCAGGGCACATATTGCTACACCGTATTATCAATAGACATAGCAAATTTTCACCAAATTCCAGTAACTAATCTCAGCCTTGTTGTAGTTAGGTCTGCGTCGGTGTTAAAGGTCTGAAGACAAACAGCAGAACCTTTCTCATATTATCACTGTGCGCTGAGTGACCCAATATGGGTTTAGCGCTTCTCCGTGAATAATAATAATAATTTATCATGCAGGTACCAAAATCAGGAATAGCCTATTTCAAATTTACCAGAGGCCACCTGTAGATGCCACCAGCTATGTAAGCCTATCCATGGCTATAGTCACACCAGCGTTAAAAATTTGAACCCTATCAGATGAGTCGTTCTAGGTTATAAACGAGGAGGGAGAAAAAATCTGCAGTCCACTTTAAAGATACACATTTCAGGATACCTGTGTAAAAAATACATTAGATTTCAACAGACGAATAATTAAGAACATAAGAAAGAAGGAACACTGCAACAGGCCTACTGACCCATGCGGAGGAGGTCCATGTCCCCCCCCCCGGATAAGACCAATGACCCCCCCCCCTGGATTAGCCAAATGACCCACCCAGTCTGGTCATCTCCACTCAAGGATGGAGCACTGCACCAGACCCAGCAGCACAAGCTAGTCAGGTCCAACTCACATCCACCCACACCCACTCATGTATTTATCTAACCTATTTTTAAAACTACACAACGTTTTAGCCTGAATAACTGTACTCGGGAGTTTGTTCCACTCATCCACAACTCTATTACCAAACCTGAATCTGAATTTTTCCAACTTGAAACCATTGCTGCGAGTCCTGTCTGGCTGGAAATTTTCAGCACGCTATTTACATCTCCTTTATTTATTCCTGTTTTCCATTTATACACCTCGATCATATCTTCCCTAATTCTACGCCTTTCGAGAGAGTGCAGATTCAGGGCCCTCAGTCTATCCTCGTAGGGAAGATTTCTGATACATGGGATCATCTTTGTCATCCTCCTCTGTACGTTTTCCAGAACATTGCTGAATGATACATCTATTGTCTTCGCCTGACATCATCTTAATGATGAAAGTGAGGGAATGTGAACGTCACCTGTTTTTGTTTGTGGGAGTAACGTCATAAGGTTACCGTTATGAAAGTGACGTCATGAAGTTACCATTGTGAAAGTGACGTCATGAGGTTATCGTTGTGAAAGTGACGTCACTGAATCACCCTGGTGAAAGTGACGTCATTAAATCACCCTGGTGAGTGACGTCATTAAGTCATCCTGTGAAAGCGACGTCATCAATTCACATTGGTGAAAGTGACATCATCAGTATATGTTGGAATATATTTAAATAAGATTAATTAAAACATAGAATATAATTTTATAATTAATTAGGGAAATAATTATATCTCAGTAAGAATGATTCTAACCTTTTTTTATGGTGAATTATGTCAAGTTTTGCCATAGGTGAGTCGAGATGTATGTGCTGTACATTAAACTTGCTGCCCCTATTAACCTAGTAGTAAATAGGTACCTTGGTGTAGCCGACTGTTGTGGGTTGTAACCTGTTCAGCCTCGAGACTCATCCGTGAACCTGCTTTCACCTATTACTTCCGTTCACCTAGTAGTAAATAGGTACCTTGGTGGTAGTGGACTGTTGTGGGTCATATACTGAACAAGACAAGTCGCCTTACACATGTTGTCTTTGTTCGCCTAACAGTAAATAGGAACTTGGGTGATGATACATATTAGTTAGTCGTATCGTAAGGGATGGTAGCGTTCCTAAGACGTATCCTAAGGTGGATAGTATTGCTGAGATAAGGCCAGTCTTTAAAATGGGTTGGCTTAGGTTACCAGCTCATAGACTGTATACCCCAGCACTAAAAAAATCACAGTAACATCAAGTGATTCGTTGTCTCAGGATAGTGTATACACCCCACCGCCCGTCCCACCTCCACACCCCACCGCCCGTCCCACCCCACACCCCACCGCCCGTCCCACCCCAACACCCCACCGCCCGTCCCACCCCCACACCCCACCGCCCGTCCCACCCCCACACCCCACCGCCCGTCCCACCCCCACACCCCACCGCCCGTCCCACCCCCACACCCCGCCGCCCGTCCCACCCCTACACCCCACCGCCAGTCCCACCCCCACACCCCACCGCCAGTCCCACCCCCACACCCCACCGCCCGTCCCACCCCCACACCCCACCGCCCGTCCCACCCCCAACACCCCACCGCCCCGTCCCACCCCCACACCCCACCGCCCGTCCCACCCCCACACCCCACTGCCCGTCCCACCCCCACACCCCACCGCCCGTCCCAACCCCCACACCCCACCGCCCGTCCCACCCCCACACCCCACCGCCCGTCCCACCCCACACCCCACCGCCCGTCCCACCCCCACACCCCACCGCCCGTCCCACCACCACACCCCACCGCCCGTCCGTCCCACCACCACAACCCACCGCCCGTTCCACCCCCACACCCCACTGCCCGTCCCACCCCTACACCCCACCGCCCGTTCCACCCCCACACCCACCGCCCGTCCCACCCCCACACCCCCGCCCATCCAACCCCGACACCCCACCATCACACATCACCCCAACCCATCCCACCCACACCACCACACATCACCCCCATCCATCCCACCCCACCATCACACATCACCCCAACCCATCCCACCCACACCACCACACATCACTCCCGCCCATCCCACCCTCACCACACATCACCCCCACCCATCCCACTCCCACCATCACACATCACCCCCGTCCATCTCACTCCCCACCTCCACACATGACCCCCACCCATCCCACCCCATCACCACACATCACCCCCACCATCACACTTAACCCCCCACCCCATCCCACCACACACTTAACCCCCACCCATCCCACCACCTCACTTAACCCCCACCCATCCCACCACCACTACCACACTTAACCCCCACCCATCCTACCACCACCACACTAGCACCACACTAGCACCACACTAGCACCACACTAGCACCACATTAGCACCACACTAGCACCACACTAGCACCATACCGGTGACGTACATGCTTTCGACACAACATTGTGACAATAAAGTGTTGGTGGCAGGGGTTTCCATAAGTCGTCAGTCCAGGGATACAGAGGTAAATATGGAATTATACAGATCAACGGGGCCGCGTTAGTAATCAATGGGGGTCTCGTTAGTGATCAACGGGGTCGCGTTGGTGATCAACGGGTCCACGTTGATCAACGGGACCGCGTTAGTGATCAACGGGGCAGCGTTAGTGATCAACGGGGCCGCGTTAGTGATCAACGGGGCCGCGTTAGTGATCAACAGGGCTACGTTAGTGATCAACGGGGCAGCGTTAGTGAAATATTTCCCACCTGCAAGCAAGTAGCTACAGATATTGCAAGGTAGGGAAGGAGGAGCCAAGGGGAGAGAGAGAGAGAAGAGAGAGAGAGGAGAGAGAGAGAGAGAGAGAGAGAGAGAGAGAGAGAGAGAGAGAGAGAGAGTAGAGCAAGTGAAAGAGGAATTCCAGCATGTGATGTTATTTGTGATTGTGTAAGCATGAGTGTGTGTGGGGAGATGAGAGGGGGAATGGTTTGTTTTGGGGTTTATGGTGGTGGTTTATGGTGGAGTTATGAAGAGTCTGTGGTGGAGTCTATAATGGTGGGTTTGTGGTAGATTCTATTGTAGTGGAGTCTGTAGTGGTAGGGTCTGTGGTTGAGTCTGTGGGGGTGGGGTCTGTTGTTGAGTCTGTAGTGGTGGGGTCTGGTTTGAGTCTGTAATGGTGGGGTCTGTGGTTGAATCTGTAGTGGTGGGGTCTGTGGCGAAGTCTGTAGTGGTGGGGTCTGTGGCGAAGTCTGTAGTGGTGGGGTCTGTGGCGAAGTCTGTAGTGGCGGGGTCTGTGGCGATGTCTGTAGTGGTGGGGTCTGTGGTTGAGTCTGTAGTGGTGGGGTCTGTGGTTGAGTCTGTAGTGGTGGGGTCTGTGGCGAAGTCTATGATGACTGTCACAGAAGTAAAACAAGAAAGACATGGTTGACTGGATTGATTTTTTTTACACTATTCGGTACAGTACCAGGCCAAAAGTCAGTCCAAAAAATAGAACATGATGGTGGAAGGTTGAAAGACTGTGCTGCAGTGCATCAGGAAAACCCTGAAACATAAGGCACAGATGGGAGAGGTTAATGATCGAGGTTCCGCAAGGATCAGTATTATGACTTGTACTATTCCCAACATATATCAACAACCTACCAGAAATGATTGAAACTTGTGTATCACTGTTCATGCGAAGACTTAGAAGACTTAGAAGACTTAGAAGACTTGGAAGACTTAGAACAGAAGCGAATAGTGATAATCTTCAGGAAGACTTTAACATATTGTTGACGTTGTAAACCAAGTGGATTTTGGGGTTCAATACAAACATATGCAAGGTCATGCGATGTAGAGTAGGTTAGGTAAGACCGGATACAGAGTACAGCATATAAATATCAGAATGTGAGAAAGATCTCCTTGACGATCAGCTAAAATGCGGAAAAACACTTTGTTTACAGTTAACTTTTTATTGTAATGCCATTATCCAACTTTAACATTATTATGGCATCAGCTTTATACATGAAGTTAGCTTTATTCTCGAAATTATCCATAGACGGGAGCTGGCTGGTAGGATGGGGCTGGCTTGTAGGATGGGGCTGGCTGGTAGGCTGGATACTGGGCCTCGCCCTGGTAGTCAACCTGAGCTACGTAGCCGGAGTCACCGTTGACGTAATAATTCACTTTCTCAAGACGACCGTCGGGAAGCTGGACGTAGTAATTGCCCTGAGTGTTGTAGCCATCACGAGTTTCTTGATGACCAAAGTCGTTGCCATTGTTGTCCTTCACGGAGTAGTTGAAGTCGTACTTGGGGTGAGCCTGCAACAAGATCTCAATATTGTATTTTTCAAAGGTGCTGATCCCTTTTTTCATCGTTTACACATAAATATATACCATAAATATGTCCTACTTTTTCTGTATACACTAATATATTAAACCTAAAGTTTGTACACTCACAACAGGACCGGGGCTGCCATAACTAGGAGCTGGAGGATACTGAGGGTAGGCCAGTGTGGCGGCCACAACGACCAACAACACGAGGACCTGATGGTAGAAGAAAATATCCGTAGGATTATTTAGCCCAGGAAAACCCAACATAGGCAGACACTACTGTTTATTGTCATCGGGGATTTTTACCTGGTCTGCACCTCACATGTCAACAAACATCTACGTACTTGTTTACTGCTAGGGGAAAACAGAGGAAATAGGTGACAGATTTGCTCATTAGCACAATTTCAGTTGAGAGCTAAACTATAATACTGTGAAGGAGTTAATTTAAAGTAGTGACTTCTAAGTTTTGGGAGCGAATACTCAATTCTGTTTTACATGTCAAGCAGACAATGCCTTTTCATTATTAAACAATATGACGAAAACAAGAGAGAACTGGGGAGAAAACATCAATTTCTGAGCAATTTTAGCAAACTTGTTACAAAGTTATGAATAAAATATAGACTCGTCTAGTAATATATACATGGATACTCTTCTAGCGAATAAATTGGTGTTAAGACAAGAGCATAAAGTGAATAATAATACGTGCATTCTTATTAAATTATTATTATTATTATTATTATTATTATTATTATTATTATTATTTAACTTGTATGGT